AAATATAATTTTTTCTTCATTATTCCAAAGTTGAGATTTCGCCCGATTTATTAAGAATGAAGAATTATATAGTTAAACCCCTACAATATGGGTATCATTTTTTAGGGTTTTTAAAGGACATTCCAGAAATAATATAAACCTCCTAAAAATCCTGTTCAGATTACCCATACAACAAAATTTTATATTTTGTGTTATTTTTTTTATTTCATTCAATTGTATTATATTTTTCCCACCAATCTGGCATCCCTTTGTGTACCCCCTTGAAATCCCAATGACTTTAAGAGTTATTGTGTTTACATTAAGTGAGTGGTATTGGTTAGTTAGTGCTCCTCCACCAAGTAAATGATTGACAATATGATTGTTTGCATTTGCATTACCATTTTCTCTCCCTCTCTCACACACATATGAGAATATAAAATGTCTTTCTCTCTCCTTAAGCCATATTTCCATCATTTTCAAGATTTTTATGGGCCTTTCTTTAATAATTGCTTGCTCACTTGATTTAGGGCCTGTGTTTGGTGGGAGCAAGAAATATCTTCGTGAGAAACAGCGAGCATATTAATGGCAATTCATTCATGAGTTCACGTGTTTGTAATTAGATGTGTGCGAGTGCGAGCGGGTTTTTTGGGGCCAAAATTCGTTTGGGGGATACTTCGGAATCTCCCACCAACAAAAAATTACTCTTCTTGGCTAGTGTAGGCTGCTCTCCCTCTCATTTGTTACGCACACACACACACCCATTCGAAGACATTATTAGGGAATTGTCGGCACGACAATCTCCGGTTGGTTCTCCGATGTGTTTGTTTTCTGCTGTGTGCTCTTTTTGTTGTTGTTGTTTTTGCCGTTGATAACGAAGAAACACACCAACGACAAGAAAATTAAAACAAAAACAATTTCTACTTCTTCATTTTACCCAACTGAGTTCAGTACATTTGTGCACTTATGAGAGTCAACATGTTGTTTTGAATAAAATCCAACAACCAAACCAAAATTTAAAAAAAAAAACTCAACTCAACTAAAACCAAAAAAGCCTACACTCCAGAGAATTACAATAATACCACAAATTTTCAAAACACAAAAAAATAAATTAAACAGCAACAAAATCTATACAAAAAATTATTAAAAAAATAAATATTTTATGGAAAATTTTTTTAAATAAAATTCCAAAAAACCCGCAGTGCAATTTATTGCAAAAAAAAGATCTACAAAAAATCGTAAAAAAGTAATTAAACAACAACAAAAACAAGTGCAAAAATTCAAGGAATTTTTTTCATATAATGAATATATCTAACTACCAGACCTAACCAAAATCGGGGTCAAAACATATAACAGAAAAAAATCATGTGGAGGAATGACAAATGAACGAACGGGCGCGAGTCTCTATGTGTGTGTGGTGGTTTTCATAGATATTTAATTTTTTTGAAGGCAAATAGAAGAAAAAAAAAACGAAGAAAATATTGAAGAAGAATACCAACAAGAATACACAAAAAAAAATAATAATAGACCGCAAAATGTCGAAATAAAACCAAATTCTAATAAAAAATTGTTTTGAATTAGAAAGAAGAAGCAACAAAATAAAACAAAACTCACAAAAATGCAGTATTATTAAAAAAAACAAACAAATTTTGGGAATGCAAAAAAATGAACAAAAATAAATTATAGAAAAAAGTAAATGAAATAAAATGAATTAAAAATTTTAATAAAAAACAAGCAAATTAATTTTGGAAAAATATAGAAAAAAAATTAAAAAAAAAAATTAAATTCAAAAACAGAATCTTTATGGGCAAAAGAAAAAAGTTAAAACGAAATATGCCGACAACATGTGACATAAATATATAATAAAAAAAAAATTGAAAAAAGAACAACAAAAAATATATTTGATAAAGATGTGTACCCAAATTAAATTTTGGAATTTATAAGATTTGTGTGCTATATTAAATTTTAGAATTTATAAGGATTAATTGTGTGCTAAATTAAATTTTGGAATTTATAAAAATTATTTGAAAAAATCTTCAAATTTTTTTCTTCAAAAAATATTTTTTTTTTTCACTAAAAGATATGGCTTATAAGATCCTAATATTGTTGGAATTATATGTCATTTGATACCTATTGTGTCGTTAAATACAATTTTGGCAATTTTTCTTTGAAATTCTCAAGTTGAGATTTCAACCGATTTATTAAGAATGAAGAATTATATGTTGAAACACCAGCAATATGGGTATCAAAGTTTAGGTTTTTAAGTGTACATACCGAAAGAAATATAAACCCAAAGTTTTTACACACCCCAGCCCTTATATTTCAAAAAATTATTACCAAAGGAACTTATTTTTTTTACAAATGTGATTTTATTCTGTAAACTTTCATAAAAAAATACGAAATTTGATTTATTTATCTTGTAATTTGTCGTAAAATACGATTTTGCTAATTTTTCTTCAAAAATCCAAAGTTGAGATTTCGCCCGATTTATTAAGAATGAAGAATTATATAGTAAAACCCCTGCAATATGGGTATCAATATTTAAGGTTTTGAGAGTAGATGCAGGAAAAACATAAACCCAAAGATTTCACTCACCCGGTGCTTAAATTTTAAAAAATTATTATTTCAGGAAATTATTTTCTTTAAAAAGTCTTTTTTATTTGGTAAACATTCATAAAAAATTGCGAAATATGATTTTTTTGATTTGTATTTTGTTAATAATTACGATTTCACTAATTTTTCTTCAAAAATCTAAAGTTGAGATTTCATCCGATTTTTTAGGAATGAAGAAGTATATAGTGAAACCCCTGCAATATGGGTATCAAATTTTAGGATTTGAAGTGAACATACCATAAAAAATATAAACTCGAAGTTTTCACTTAACCCGGAACATTTATTTAAAAAAAAATAATACCAAAGGAAGTAATTTCCTTTAAAAAGTCGTTTTTAATTGGTAGACTTTCTTCAAAAATTTCGAAATTTTATTTATTGGCCTTGTAATTTGTTATTAAGCATGATTTTGCTAATTTTTCTTCAAAAATCCAAAGTTGAGATTTCACCCGATTTATTAAGAATGAAGAATTATATAGTAAAACCACAGCAATATGGGTATCAAAGTTTATGATTTTGAGAGGGCATTCCAAAAACCCTATAAACCATTCCTTAAACCCCACCAGATTGCTTATATCCTAGCAAATGTCTCCTAAATGAAGTTTATTTCCTTTTAAAGGCCGATAAGCGAAGTAAACTCAATTTTAATGTTACCAAATAGTTGCTATTTATCATCTATTTCACTCTTAAATAATTTTCTGTCGCTTTTTCTTCATTATTCCAAACTTGAGATTTCAACCGATTTATTAAGAACGAAGAGTTATATATGTAAACCCATGCAATATGGGCATCATAGTTTAAGTTTTGAGAGTAGATTTTAGAAAAACTATAAACCATCTATTATACACAGCCTGCAAGTTAATATTCCTCTAAATTATTATCGAAAGAGGATTAATTTGTATATTTCACCTTTTACGTTGAAAAATTGTCATATAAAGTTTGGAATAATTTGTTGTTTAACTTCTATTTTACCATTAATTATGAATTTGTGAAAATTTCTTCATTTTTCCAAAGTTGAGATTTCATCCGATGTATTAAGAATGAGGATTTATATAGTAAAACCCTAGGAATATGGGTATCATTTTTTAGGTTTTGATGAGAGTGTACAGGAAATAATATAAACCTCAAGAAATAATTAACCTGGTTAAATATTTACCAACATCATCTAATGCAATTTTTATCAGACTAATGCAATTAAATAAATTATTTTTTACTTGGAAATTGTTCATAAAAACTTTCGAAAAATATGCCATTGATCTCCTATTTTGCTGTAGATTAAAAAATTGCCATATTTTCTTCATTTTTCCAAAGTTGAGATTTCGCCCGATTTATTAGGAATGAAGAATTATATAGTTAAACCATAGCAATATGGGTATCCACGATTAGGGTTTTAAGAGGACATTCTAGATAAAATATAAACCAACACAAATATCCAACCTGTTTGAATATGTACCAACATATAATTATCAGATGAATGCAATTTAATAAATTATTTGTTTTTACATGGAAATTGTTAATAAAAACTTTCGAAATATATGCCATTGATCTTATATTTTGCTGTAGATTACAAAATTGCCATACTTTCTTCAGTTTTCCAAAGTTGAGATTTCGCCCGATTTATTAGGAATGAAGAATTATAGGGTTTAAGCCCAACAATATGGGTATCCACGATTAGGGTTTGAAGAGTAGATTCTAGAAATGATATAAACCTTTCATTAAAATGAAGAAAAAATACAAAAATTAAAAAAATTTAAATATATACAAAAAATAATCGAATAAAAAATGTACAAAATTAAGAAAAAATATATAAAAATAATAAAATTAAAAAATATTCAAAAAAATAATAATAAAATCAAAGAAAATATTTCATTAAATTTTATAAATATTAAAATATAAATAATTCTCCAAAACTTTTTCTACGAAAGTCACCGCCACCACCTAACCAGAACAAATAAAAAAATCTCCACAAGTGTTAAAAAAATCGATTCCAATTTTTTTTAATCCCCAAATTATTATTGATTTCCAGATTTTTTTGTGAATATTGAAATAAAAAAATAAAAATTATTTTTTTGCACAAAAAACGCTGTTGCAAAATAGCCTTAAGCAATGTGACTTAATTAAAGAGAAAAAATCGATACCAGTGTAAACAAAAAAAAAAAATATATAAAAATATAATATTGTGAAAGGAAAGAAAGTCCAGTGAAGAAGGAAGACCAAAATAAAAAAACAACAACAACTACAACAAAAACTAACGTGTTTTAAGCCAATTAAACGAACGGCAACTAAATAATTCAGAAAAAGAAAGGTTTATTTTTAAACCCACGAAAGCAAAAATAAGAACAACAACAAAACGAGAACTAACCCAGTGAAAAAAAACAATTACAAAAACAACAACAAGTTGAAAAGAACACCCGATGGCAACATTAGCAATTGAACAGCAGAATAACACCCACTTAACAGTAACGTCGACGTCGGCTAAAGGCAACCACGGTAACGCGGCTAACACCAAAGCTAACGTCAACGCTCTGTGTAGTAGACCCATTAAAATCCCCCTGCCAGCAGGTGCCGCCGGTTCCACTTCCTTTGCCACACAATTATCCACCGGTTCGGCTGATAGTGCCTGTGTGGTAGCAGCCAGAGGCAGTACCAGTAGCAGCAGTACCAACAATGATGATGATGTTGGTGGTGGCCACACACCCTGCTCCTCATTCGTTTCTCTAACAGGGGCCAGTGCAGAGGCACGTCGCAAAGACGACATCTTGGCAATTACTCAACGTAGTGCCAGTCTGAGTTTACATGGCGCCGCCCATCCCAAATCCCAATTACAAAAACTTAAACAGCCTGCCTATCGTCAGCTGTTGTCTCAGGACAGCGGGATTGATAATGATCGCGATTCAGCCGTAGGCTCTCAGCAACAATTAAAATCGGCTCATTGCTCCTCATCGAGTAATGAATCGATTGGAGCCAATTCCTCGGGAGATCTTTCCCATTCAAAATACTCAGAGGATGCCCTCGAATCGGAATCCTCTAGTGGCTATTCGGGTAGTACGCATAGCTTTGGGGCTTTGAGTTCGGGAAATAATGGTGGCGGCACACGAAGGATTAAATATAAATCCTGTAACAGTTCCACCACCCTAGGGTTGGGTGTGGAGGATCGCATTGATGAGGTAGAGGATCTACATTTGGATGATGAAGATGATGATGTGGACGTGGAGGAAGATGTGGTGGATGGCGAAAATCCTCATGATGAAGATCCCGATGATAGTGGTCTGCAAATGTGTGTTAGTCCCAACCCAGGCAAGGCCACAACCACCACCAAGACCGAATCGGAAGTTATTGAAAAAGAAATCAAAAAATCTTCCGAAAAATCTGCCGAAGATTTGAAAACACCCAAACTTAAAGGTCAGGTTTTGGCCACAGATGGTAATTACTATTTCCCCCTGCTGAACATCTCCGATGATCCCGTCATCAATCCCAAATTGATAAATAAAAAAGATGGCCTACAGGATTGCATGTATTATCTCGATGAATTCGGCAGCCCTAAGTTAAGAGAGAAATATGCTCGAAAACAAAAACTCAAAGAGTTGAAGCAGCAGCAAAAGGCCAAGAAAAAAGCGGCCAAGGAATTGGCAAATATGGCCGAGGCTGGCACAAGTGGTAACTCGAAAACCTGCTCCTCGACAGACAACAATACAACAACCACAACCAAAAAACGCCACTGCACATTTACCACCCAGGAATGTCAGGAAGCCAATGAAGCGGAATTACAGCCCCTGCAACCGCATACAGAAACTAACCCACCCGCCACAAATAAATCATCCAAAAACACATTAGAAACTCACTGTGATACTAAAGAGAAGAATAGTCATTTAAGTTATGCTAAGAAGAAGTCTACAACAACAACCACAACAACTACAACTACTGATAGCTGTAAGAAAAGTCTTTTGAAAAATGATGGTGGCGACCAAGAGGAGAGTACCGTGGTGGCCTCCGAAGTTAAAGCCGATGATGATCATATTGTCGATGTAGATCACAAATGTAATGATGATGACAACAACAATGGTCCCTGCCCCAATGATCCATGCAATTTGCGTAAAGCCTCAATGACAGCGTCCTGTGTTAGCTGGACCAAGGTTATGAAGAAATTCAAAAATATGTTGGGAGGTAAATTGAAAAAAAAAACAATTAAATAATGAAATGTATTTGTAAATATTTTTTAGGAATTTAAAAAAATATTAAAACTTTTTTTTAATTTTTTTTTTCAAAAATTTATAAAAAACAAATTTTTTTCATATATTTTTACCACAGAAATTTTCGAAATATGTCTTATTTAACCTATATTTTGTTTTAAATACAATTCCACCAATTTTTCTTCCAAAATCCAAAGTTGAGATTTCGCCCGATTTATTAAGAATGAAGAATTATATAGTTAAACCCCATCAATATGGGTATCAATGTTTAGGTTTTGAAGAGTAGATGCTGTTTGAACTATAAACCCGAAGTTTTCACGCACCCCCGTGCTTCTATATCAAAAAAATTATTATTAAAGACAGTTATTTTCTCTAAAAAGTCGATTTAATAAAGTAAACTTTCATAAAAAATTACGAAGTATGATTTATTTACCTTGTTATTTGTTATTAAGTACGATTCTACTAAATTTTCTGCAAAATTCCAAAGTTGAGATTTCAACCGATTTATTAAGAATGAAGAATTATAGGGTTAAACCCCATCAATATGGGTATCAAAGTTTAGGTTTTGAAGAGTAGATGATGTTAGAAATATAAACCCGAAGTTTTCACGCAACCCTGTGCTTATATATCAAAAAATTATTATTAATTGCAGTTATTTTCTCTAAAAAGTCGATTTTATTAAAAAAAAAAACTTTCATAAAAAATTACGAAATATGATTTTTTTCACTTATACTTTGTTTCTAAATAGAATTCTACCAATTTTTCTTAAAAAATCCCAAGTTGAGATTTCACCCGATTTATTAAGAATGAAGAATGATAGGGTTAAACCCCATCAACATGGGTATCAAAATTTAGGGGTTGAAGAGTATATGCTGTTAGAAATATAAACCCGCGGTTTTCACGTACCCGGTGCTTATATATCAAAAAATTATTATTAAAGGCAGTGATTTTCTCTAAAAAGTCGATTTTATTAAGTAAACTTTCATTACAAATTACGAAATATGATTTATTTACCTAGTTATTTGTTTTAAGTACGATTTTGGCAATTTTTCTTTAAAAATCCAAAGTTGAGATTTCGCCCGATTTGTTAAGAATGAAGAATTATAGGGTTTAACCCCTACAATATGGGTATCAATATTTAGGGTTTTGAGAGTAGATACTAATAAAAATATAAACCCAAAGTTTTTACGCACCCCGGTGCGTATATACCAATAAATTAATTACAAAAGGAAGTTATATTCTTTTAAAATCGATTTTATTAAGTAAACTTTCATAAAAAATTACGAAATATGATTTATTTAACTAACATTTGTTTTCTAAATAGAATTCTATAATTTTTTCTTTAAAAATCTCAAGTTGAGATTTCGTCCGATTTATTAAGAATGAGGAATTATATAGTAAAACCCCAACAATATGGGTATCAATGTTTAGGGTTTGAAGAGTAGATGATGTTAGAAATATAAACCCGAGGTTTTCACGCACCCCTCTGCTTATATTTCAAAAAATTATTTTAAAGTCCGTTATTTTCTCTAAAAAGTCGATTTTATTAAGAATTACGAAAGATTACGAAATTTGATTTATTTAACTTATATTTTGTTTCGGTATACAATTCTATCAATTTTTCTGCAAAAATCCGAAGTTGAGATTTCGCCCGATTTATTAAGAATGAAGAACTATATAGTTAAACCCCATCAATATGGGTATCAATGTTTAGGGTTTGAAGAGTAGATGCTCTTTGAAATATAAACCAGAAGTTTTCACGCACCCCTGTGTATATATTAAAAAAAAAATATTAAAGGTAGTGATTTTCTCTAAAAAGTCGATTTTATTAAGTAAATTTTCATAAAACATTACGAAATATGTCTTATTTAACTTATATTTTCTTTCTAAATACAATTCCGCCAATTTTTCTTCCAAAATCCAAATTTGAGATTTCGCCCGATTTATTAAGAATGAAGAATTATATGGTTAAACCCCATCAATATGGGTATCAATGTTTAGGTTTTTGAGAGGATATTCTAGAAATAATATAAACTTTTCGTTTAATAAAAATTTTGGGCTCTATATCGAAAAATGTCCCCTAATGGAACTTTATTTTATTAAAATGGGCATTTATCTAAAGAAAAATGTCTTCACTGTAACAAATTAGCTGTTAATTAACATATATTTTGTCTTTATAACGAATTTTATTAATTTCAAATTCCAAAGTTAAGATTTCGCCCGATTTATAAAGAATGGAGAATTATATATGCTGGGGTTTGTTAGTTTAGGTTTTTGAGAGGGTATACTAGAAAAAATATACACATGGATTTTTCGTCCCTACCTTTTCTTATATTTTGAAAAATTATTATTAAATACAGTTATTTCATTTAAAATACCGCCATATCATAATATTATATATATTATAATATTAGGTATTTAAAAAAATATTACCTTGCCACATTGTTGTCAGCTTAATCAAACATTTTTTTTATTATTATGGATTAGCCTTTATTTAATCTTATACATTTTTTCAATTTCCAAAATTTTAACTAAAATGTTCTTTATCTTCTTGTTTATTTTTAGGTAAGTGGCCCGTAATCTTTAAACACAAAATATAATCACTTTGATTAACAATATATTTGTTACCTTGATAAAGAAGGTATTCTTTGTTGTTGTTGAAATAACTTCTTGTTCGGCTGTCCTTCGTGTTATAAAGGTAAGGTGTTATATTATGGGGAAATTTTGAAAATCAAGGCAATAAAAATCAGAGCTCTTGGGTAATACTGTTTTGTAAAAAATATATTTTTTGTGAAAGTAAAAAAAAACTTGAAAAAAATTAAAAAAACAATAATTTTTTGCCACAAAATTGTTAACAAAAAAGGCATTATTTTAATTCTTTTTAAAAAAAAATATATATTTTTTTTCATTTTCTTCTTTTTGAAAAAAACTATTCTTAAAAAATTTTTTTTTGTTCGAAAAAAATGTTATTTTTTTTTGTTACCATGTCAGGGTTTTTATAAAGAAAGTACAATCATAAAGATAATATTTTTATAGAAGTCATGGCATTCTTACTTTCATTTCTATTTATTTAATTATTTTGTTTTTGTTGTATTGTTTTTATTGCCATTATTTAGAAATTAATCTAATCAGGCATCATTGCTGCTTATCATTGTTTACTATTTTTTTGGGTTATAAAAATTAATATTATTTTTTTCTTTATAAATGTAATTGAAATATGTTGACGTGGGAAGCAATCTATATTTTGGTTATTCAGTGCTGACACTGAATAAAAAAACCCTGGAGAAAAAACCCGTAGGAGGTAATGTATTTAAACAAACACCTTTTGTTGTAAAAAAATATAGGAATGAAAATGTATTCCGATTTTTTTAAATAAAAACAAATAGAAATTTATTTAAATTAAAAATAATTAAAATTAAAAAAATTAGTTTTTTTTTAAATTAAAAAATCTAGCCCATAGCCCAATATGCCTGATGAGCCGCTTAACCAACGGCGAAACGCGTCGCATAATGGTGGGTACGTAGGTTCTTCTCCTGGCTTTCCTTTTCATTGCTAAACTTAGATCATCAAGCTCGACTCGAAAAAGTATAAATAATCACTTAAAAATTACTTTCAAATGATCACTGCCCTTACAAGGCAAAATTCAAATAACAAAGATTTGCCGAAGAGATGAAAACAAAATTTCAATTGGTTTCTGAGATATGGCCATGAGAGGAAGACAATATATTAGAGAATTTTTAGGAAAAACTCAAAATTACGATTTTTCAAAACTTTAGCTATTTTGAGGCACTGAATACAGTTTTTCCAGGATGAACTGTTTAGAAGATTTATTATCCTAGTCAATAGTTACAATAGTGCCGAAGACTAAGAAACTAAATTCCAAATGGTTTTCAAAATATATTAAATTGTCCCAAAAAGAAGCCCCTTATATTCAATATACTCAATTTGCGACCGATATTTCCATGATATCATGGACCATGGCCTATAGTGAAATTCGATCTAGATTATTTTTTCTTTTAGAAGCAGAACCCTAAAATGCTGCACAATGGGAGATTTTTGCATAATTTGAAAATATATAAAAATGTCATCAAAAATTTAATTTTTATTTATATAGAGAAATTGAGGCCGATATTTCCCGGAAATGTATTGTATATAGTGATTTCCTTTGTATGGAGACCCATCGTGAAATTTGAGGTAGAATATATATTTCATTGGAAGTAGTCCACTAAAATGTCGCACAATGGGAGATTTTGGCATATTCTGAAAATATACAAAAATTTTAACAATAACATAAAATTTCAATTTGTTGTCGCAATTGGGGCCGATATTTCCAGGATATATATTATATATACCGCTTTCATTTGTTTGAAGGTCTTTACTGAAATTTGATGTAGATTATTTTTTCCTTTGAGAGCAATCACCTAAAATGTAGCACAATGGGTGATTTTTGCATAATTTGAAAACATTAAAAAGTCACATCAAAAAATAAAATATAATTTGTATATCCGGAATGCGACGGATATTTCCGGGTTATATATTCTGTATACCGATTTCTTTTGATTAAGGACCCATAGTGAAATTCGATGGAGAATATTTCTTTCATTGACATCATGCCTCTAAAATAGAATTTTATTAGAGATATAGCAATTTTTTAAATACACCCTAGTTCTCATTGGTTATTGAGACTCTGGACATTGTTCATAATTTTATTGTTGTTGTAATAATTCTTTTCTAAATAAAAAATTAGAGATTATTTAAATTACATATTAAATAAAATATACTATATATATATATATATATTTATAATGTGCCTTTGTTAGCAACAACAACAACAAACAGTTCAAAGTTTATTCAAATCTTTGTTGTTGTTCAGCAGAAAAATAAGTGAATTGAAACAAAGGAATATTTCAAAAAACAATGGCGGTCAGGCCAGATCGTCGGACAACGACTAGGCCACCATCAGCTCATTAAGTG